TCGGTGCAGGTATTTTATTTGATGATGCATACTTAGCATTTTATATATTATTTTTGCTTCTAGTTACTTAAAAAAAGAAATTAACATTCATTTGACAAGCCTTTTTTGGTTGGTCATTCAGTGTAACAAAGTTTAGTCTCTCAAACCAAAGGAAAGATTTTTCAAGCTTCTGGAATTCAACAGCAAGGCTGTTTTCCGTGGTAACAGCTTTGTGCAGGCTTCTCCAATTACATTCACTCTAAAATGAACCTTCAAACAAAAGACTGATTTGGAAAATTTTGCTCTACTTGATAATGTTTAAGATGTGCATGTAATTCAGTAGTTCCAGTTTCAGTAAAATCTTAATGGTATCAGATATAAATATGGAAGTATTCAATCCTGATTTCCTGATGTAGTATTTGTGTGTGTTTGTGTGCTGGTTTTAGGTTCTTTTAACCACCTTTCTATATAGAACTGTACCTTGAAGTTCTTCTTTGCATGTTCTGAAAATACTTCTGTAAAGCTTTTACAAAGATGGTTACTCATTACCAAGATACCTCCTTCTATGACTTCTGAAAAAGATGGAGGGTTGGATTTTTGTGAAAAGTCAACCTCCAATTTAAGTATTATTTCAAACACATGTATCAAAAAGCCTCTATACTGTTTCCATCCGCTACTAGGACATGTACAATGATGATCTAATACTTCCCAATTCACTGGTAATAAAAATCAGTGACACTGTTTGCTTAAAGGCAAGGAAGGTTTTATTTAAGTGAGTAATCCGTTATAAGATTTTAAAAACCAGCTCACATCAAAATCTATAGCAGTTGTAGAAATCTTACTCCTTATTTCATATTAAGAAATTCATTATTGTACATTTTGTGATCTTTACAAGGCAGCCATAAGAAATATAAACATTTGTCACCAGATAGAACCTTCTCACTGACAAACAATATTTAAAGTATGCACTTAATAAAACTACAGACTAAAAGAACACCTACAATTTCAAGTCTCCTTGTATGAATTCAGCTGTAAGTGGACTGCCCCTTTTCTCCCCCACAAATAGAAAAATAACTTATGCAGAAGGCTTGGGGTTCTGTGAGAGGACTGCCATTCTGGGCTGTACACCAGTCATCCAGGAATACCCTTACCTTTCAAACTTGCTATCTGTAAATCACATTTCAGTGTTGCAATCTCTGGTATCACAGTAAACCTTCCTCTCTTTCTTTCCCCTCCTAAGTTCTGTACATCCTTACAAATGAACTATCGGATTTGTTTCATATTCCCCAAACCCCCAAAATTCAATCCAGTTTCAAACGTAGCTTAATGAGATAAATACAACTAGAGGGTAAACTGTAACAATCCCTGTAAGTTGGGCTTGAACTAAAATGAGAGAAAGAGGAATTGCCAATACCTGACCAATTGCAGAGTCCATGGCACAGGATTCTAGCTGCTCCAGGCCATTTCTTATGTCTGAAAAATAAAACTCTTTTCATCCAGAAAATGTGTATTACTTCCATTTTTTATGAGTGGGTCTGAATTTAGGATCATCTGTAGGAACCTATATTTAACTTGAGTGACTAAACATCATGGAAGTCTTAATTACCTTGACAAACCCACAGTTTCTGATGAAGCTCTGAACACAGACCACGAGGAATCATTGCTCTTAGAGAAGCTGAGGCCAGAGACTATAGGAATTCTATCCTGTACCACCTCCAGATGAGGAGGGAAAGTACCACTTTCTCCCCCGCAAGCCTGACATGAACAAATGAATGCAGAGATCTCAAGTTCAGATCCCACAAGTCAATCTCTAAACAGAAAAATGATGAAACGAGTGTGCACAATCTCTTCTTTCCATTTTTAAGCCAACAAGCTTATCAAAAAGGTGCCCATGCTCCAGTCATCTAGTACTATTACGATGTGCACACTTTTTTATGGTTTAGATGGCAAGAGGGTGAAAAAAACGTGGGGGAAATCTTATTTGTTCAGTAACAAATGTTGCATGTAAAACTTTAAAAAACTAAAAATACCTAGGTTTCAGGTATTATTAAAAACACTTATAAACAAAGTTTTTATAAATTTAAAACAGCAAACAATATAGAAAACAGGAAAAAATTCTTTTTTTCCCTTTCCAAATTTATTCCATGAAGTATGTGATGATACTACAGAGCTAAATATTGGGGGCTTGCTTAAATACATACATTAGAAGTGTCCTGGATAAAGAAAGACTGCAATGTATAAACAGAACAACTTGTTCACTAATAATGGCAAACAAAGGCAATTTTGCAGAATGGTGGGTCTTCTGGATAAAGTGTCGTCCTGTGTAGACTAAGGTGTGTAATCCTTTTTCTCTAGCTTACTGATAAGTTCCACTTCTATGTAGCCAGTGAAAGTTTTAGATGTTTAGAAGTGACTTCCCTAGGTATTAGAGGAACAGGTGAAGTAATCTGTAAAAAATTAAGACTAGTTTCATGTAAACAAATCAAAATGACAGCTCCCATGAACCCCAGTGAACAAGAGTTATCAATACTGTGTCATTTTTACAGCTAACAAAATTTTATGCTGAATAGATATAAACCATGCCACAAAACTAAACAGGAGTACTCTGATCAAGCAAGAATCTATTCCAAGAGCACTAGTGTATCCAAACAAACAAATGAACAAGTTATTCAAAATAAGCTGATTTGGACCAACATCACTATTTGGGTCTGTGGAATAGTCTGCATTCTATACAATGATGTCTTTTTTCAAACTTACCTAACTAGACAACAAAATTGAATAAACAGCTATTGTTGGTGTGGGGTTTTTTGGTGTTGATTTTTTTCTTTTTTTTTTTCCTTTTTTCTTTTTTTTTTTTTTTTTTTTTTTTTTTTTTTTTTTTTTTTTTTTTTTTTTTAGTATATCGGTTACAAATTTCCTGTGAAAGCAGAACCAAAACTTTAGTGTCTTCCAGTAGCTACACACATACACATGGACAAAACCAAAACACCACAGTCGTGACGGTGTGTTTTTACAATATCTCAGATAACTCTACCACTGCTATTAATCACAGTCATTTTTTACAGTAATTTAAAATTGATCCATATCAACAAGACAACAAAGTAAATGCTTCCAATGGTGGCTTACTTTGCACTGACTTGTACTGCAGCCTTAGCACCCACTGGACTAACAGTTTTGTGTTGTACAATTTCATTTATGCTTCCTCCATTCAGCAGGTTAAAAGAATGTGCTTTTCTGTTACAGACTGGAGGCACTAAAGGTGCTGAAACAACTTGTATTGTCTTGTATGTTTTCTGGGCACCCACCTTAGCTTCTGTCCATTTCCCTTCTGTGTGTGCTTTAACACTTTCATAGCCTACACAGTTTAAGTGCTGACCTCACAGAGACTGCAGCAGTGAGGAGCTGCAATCAGAGAATAGGATGGCTGTAGGCTCAAACTCACCCTCAGCAAATAGCCTGCTTAGGAGGACCAATCTTCCATGAAAACACAGGTAAAACTGAAATCCAATTGCAAGCTGAATGCCCATGAACCACTGCATGCCGTTTAATGTGGACAAAGTGTGTAACCAAGAATTCTGACCACAAAGGAATGTTCTAAGAGAAAACAGAATTAAAACTGGAGATTCATTATGCAAATCCAAAGGACTATTCCAAGTATAGCTGGGGGAAAAAACCCAAAAAATCCCATGAAAAAACTAGTTGTTCAACATGCATGAGGTTTCCGGCTATTGCCACAGAATATCTGTTGAACTGCCAGCCTAGTTCTGAGATGCCTAAAATCACATTCATCTTGTTCATGCTCTCAGCTCCAACAGAAGTTGTTTTACCATTTTAGTGGCAACTGGTTGGTGCTTTCAAAACCAGTGAACCTGGCATTCGATGTTTCAGAAGATCAGTTCCTAATTAACAGGAAGCCTTAACCTCCAAGCTAATGCCTGTACGTATCACTGTTTTGCCAAAGTGCTCAGCTGGAGCACCTGATCAGGAGATAAACCACTCTATCAATGAGCAATAAGCAGTGCTGGAATTATGCAAATGCCACTGAAGTTCTCATATATTGTATGGAAACAAAGTTAGGGGAAATATTTTCAGCTTGATTTCAATACCATGTGTAGAAACTTTGAAATCATTACCATTCTAAATCACACACACACACGTATTTGTTTTACACTCATAATATTCTTAAAGGAAGCCAGCACACTGACAACTACAAAGTGACCCAGCCATTAATGAAAATACACAAAATCAGCATTTACATGACATGGTACTCTGCAAAATGACATTATGTCTCCAAGAGTAAAAGACAGCCTTTCCTAGAGAAACCTAGGAGATTTCTCTAACCTTGTGCTCAGACACTATTTCCTTCAGTAGAGTCACAGAATTACACCCAAATCTCTCTTTTGAAAAGAACTCAACCTTTCTACTACAACAGTCTCTTGGATGATAGAGGTAGATGGCTAAAGCAACAGGAGCTTTGAACTTTGCAGCTGGAATAGTGATTACTATCAGAAGATTTGTTACGAAACATTCAGTGCTTAGAAAGAACTTTGTTATCAGTCAATGTTGCTTTTAGGTCCCCTCGGCAAACTTAAAATTTGCCTATGGAGTTCCTCACTCACAAGCCTTGTATTACCCTGCCTGTTTGAAACTAAGAAGCAGGAGCCTGCTAACAGTGAAGTCGCTGGAGGGAAATGGAGTCTGGTGTACCCATGCAACCTCCTCTTAATGCAAGAGCACAGGAGAAGAAATGGACTCTGTGGTTAGAACTAATACACACAGTTGGGCCAAGACAGAGCACAGAATAATTCCTCCAATTTTTTGGGATATGGAACTGTGATACTACTGGCAAAGCATTTGTAAAACTGAAGACTGCTTTCAATATAGTTTGCGAATTATCTTTCCTTTAGCTTTTGTAGCTGCCTGACTTGGTAACAGCATAAAACCCCAGCCCCTTCTAATGTATTTACCTGCTCCCAGTAAGTGTGAGCTTTCAAACTTTTTACATCTCCTAAATCTTTTTCATGTGTTCCCTTAAAGGACGTATTGCACCAAAAAAATTACTGATGTGCCAGAGATATTTCAGGAGATTTGAAATAGGTAAGTGACAATCTTGCCAAGTAAAGTATGAAAATGTAAATCAAGGATCTCCCTTTATAAGATATTTTGCTGCCTTTTAAGTCAAAAGCTGCATTCCTATGCCCTTCCAAAAGCACACTGAAACTTTAGGGTTAACAGGGAGTATAGACTTAGGTTTACTTCTGCAGTGTCTCAATAGTTTTCCATTGCATTTCTTACTTGTTTTACCGTCAACTATCAAAATCATTAACCGACTTGTTGAGACTGTTTCTGGTATACCAAGACTTGAAAAGGGGGTGGGGAAGCACAACAGCCTCTCCACTCCAATTCCCTGAAATTAAAAACTAACAAACAAACTTGAAAAAGAAATGTCCTATTGACTTCCAGCTTTCTCAATGTTAATAGTCTGGTTTTACCTTTTAGAAAAAGGGGGTTTTATGTGCACTTGTAACTTCATTGCAGGTTTTAAAACATGCATCAGTTCAGTCATGAAAGTTCTCTTGATGAATTTCAGTGGAAGTGTCTGCATGAAGAATCTGCAAACTGTTACTATGTTCAACTAACTACAACACTTTAGAATATTACTACTTAAGGAAAATGTCACATATTTTACTTCTACTAAGTCCATTGGGAGATCAGAGAGAAATTTAAATCTGTAGAAAAATGTCTGTTTGGCACCTGTAATTTGGCACGTCCATTCTTTGAAGCTCAAATGCTGTAATTCTGAATGCTATGGATTGTCTTAACACAGCAGTTGCTATAAAGCATAAGAAGGTAAACAATTTACCGATATACCTCATTACTTTTCTTTTCCTCCAGTGTAAAAAGTCCCCTGAAGTTCACAAATCCCTTAGTGAAAGGGTTCCCTTTAGCTTACCCTCTTAAGATCTGACTTGGACTGAGATGAGCAAAGCCATCTCCTTCCTGAAGTAGTCCACACATTTTCTGCACAGTTATCAAATTCCACAAAACAACGTGATCTTCATACAGTTGCACATTACTTTGTTTAACACTAACTGCTTCAAACTGTGGCCAACACACTTATTTTTAACATGAAGTTTTCATAATCTGGTTCATAAGTGAAGTTGTCATTTATTTGTCCACCACCTCACACAAACATGAGTGCCCATGTTGGGGTCTGTTTACCAACACCACAAGCTGAAAGGAAATCTTGGGCTTAAAGGACCCAAAAAGCATCTTTTTATACGAACTCTGACCACCCGTTATTGTAGTTCCGATCTCTGCTTCCCTTGTAAGTGTGCCACTTTATTGAAAAGTGGCAACAGAAAGGACTATTTAAAGTGTAAACCTTCTCTGTAACCTATGTGACCTACCATTTATACTTTGGATGCAGCTAAATAATTAGCTCATACCGCAACCCTTCTTCTGAGCAAAATCAGCCTGCTTTAGCTTTTCCTCTTATTGCACATATTATATCTGTTGTAAAAAATAATCAAAGATATTTCCTGTTGCTTTGATGTTGTAACCACTTGCACTAGTTTTAGGTTGTTTTAAAATCTCCCAATAAACATGACAAGAGGAGCTAAACTGCAAGTTCCCCAATTGGTGTAAGAAGGCAGATTCAGAACAGGGAAGACTCCAAGGTACAGGTTCCCATCTACATCTCTTAGTTTGGAGCAGCCTAAATATTATCTTTGAGGCATGCCTACGAGTTTAACGGGGGGCACCCAAGATCTACATTCCCAGTCTTCCTAGGGAACAGATTCAAATTTGTGAACACCTCGAACCCAAGCAATGGAGGGCAAATGCCTGTCATGATCCTTGTCTGATTCAGGCTGGCTCTGGGCACGCTCTGGCTTGGGGTTCAAGGAAGGTGGGTCAGGCTGCTGCACAGACATAGTCCTGCGGAGGTGGTTCCTCTTGCGCAGAAACTCGGGTTGGGAGTGGAGGCCGAAGCTACCTTTTCTCAAGATCATCCGAGAGTTGTTCTTTTTGGGTCGTGAATGGAGACTAAACTCCAGCGAGGCCAAGTGGGCTGCATAACCTTCACTGAGGAACTGAAATAGGAAGGAAAGAAAGAGTGACAAATTACTGCTGCCTTAATCTCTGCGCTCTATGAGGGAGTAAGTTTTGATCTTTGGCATCCCAGTTAGACACCTACAGAGTACTAATACCCTTCTCAATTTTTTTTTCAGTGACCTATTCAATTTGGTCATTCAGCAATATGCAATGCATGCACTTGTAGATACAGCCTGCAGCCGCTCAGTTCTCTTAACCATCCACTTTGCCAGAAAATGCCTCATTTGTAACCAAAATTGTCCTTCTTTGAAACACTGTTGCTGCTCTGAGTGTGTGTGTTTGCACATGCATTCATGCGTTTCCTTGTCTTCCATAGGACTTCCTGATTGAGTAGCAAGAGTTACTTACTTGACACTGTGCCTGGTATTTCTTGGTGGGTCGTCCAACTATGTAGATCTGGGATGGTGACAGAGCCAAGACACTGTACACAGAAATATCCTTCATGGAACCATATGCAGCACAGATTTTGATGTGGCACTGAAACAAACATTACTTCCAAAGTGAACGCTCTCTTGAACACTCTGCAGCTACAAGGCTGGCACTTGAATTGCAATGAAGCAGCACATGAGTTCATTGTTAACAATCTCATTCTGTAAACTACAGATATCTAAATCTGTCTGCTTGCATGCCAGCAAGAACTACAGCTATGCACACAGGAAAATCCAAGCAGTTCATTTATTTATTTATTATGATAGGAGGTCCCTTTGGATGTTTTATCAGCCTTCCTTGCCCTTGAAAAAGTGAGAAAAGAAATGAGGAATGGCAAAAAGACATTGTGATGACCAGTGAGATTCACTGTTCAGAAAGAAGGGAGATCTCTTAGTTTACAGAATGACATTCACTGAAAAGAGGTTCTAAGACTATGAATAGGTTTCTAGTACCTCTTGCATGAGATTCCGGAGAAAAATGGTCTTTTGTCGCAGTGGGTCATGAACCAGTCCATCTGAGAAGAAGATCATCCCTTGTGGGAAGTTGTGTTGAGACAACCATGAAACCACACGCTGTTTTTGCATATCTGGACGGCCAGTGATATAGATAATCAGATATCCCAGGTCCTGCCAATGCCTGTCATAAATAGCAGGTAAATTATGTAGGTGCAGGAAGAGAAACAATACTCATAGGTCAGATCAGCTTCTTAGCCCAGTTAGAAGTCAGCTGTTATCCTTCAGCAAGAGAAGAACAGCATGCCTAAATTTCTGCTCCTATCAAGCAATTAAGTAATACTGTCCACACCTTGAGGGAGACAGAGGAAAGCAAGAGAGACTCTTATACAAAATATTATCTAAAATATGAGAGCTATTTAAAAATGTATTTAGAGTAGACCTTGCTACACATCAAGCCCCGCTATCTTTGAAACTCTTAATGAGATTTCCTGCCATTTCAGCTCTAAGGAAGGGAAAACCTTTGAAAATTGACATTCCTACATTTCCACGCAGGTTCCAAAATCAGAACTGCATTTCCCCATCCAGTGAGACATAGCTGACTTGCAATAATGGATTAAAAGGCTTTTAGTTTGCCTCCAAAAAACATTCTTGAATTCACAGCACCGGATACTTCTGAAGTACAAGTATGTGCTTATGTGAAGTTCATGAAACACAAAATACTCATGGAATCATTATTAATTCACCGCACATACTTTATGACCATATTCCAAAGAAGCAACTTTTAACCTTTAGGCAACTTAAAGTACAAATTTTTAAGTAATCCACAGCATTGTAGGATTCCTCTGAAAATCAGGCAGACCTGCTGTCCAAGCAAATATAAAAATGTATCTGCAAAGAGAATTGCTGTTTATTTAGTAAAAAAACCCTTTTCCTTCCTACTGTGTTCAGTAGCCATAGAGTTAGCGTTCAAACCTCACTTACCTGACAACATCAACGGCCCCTGCTCTCACTTTGGGGTCACTTCCCATAATTGAAACACTTGCTGCAAATGAACCATCAATGCTGAACACAACACATTCCATTCCTCGGGGAAGCACCGTCAGGTAACTTGCAGCACTGCTCTGGTCCCCTCTGGAGAGTGAAAGTAATAAATTTATTTAAAGAGCAAAATGTCAGAATGTATTTTCTGCAAGTTCTAGTTAATACTTGAAATTAGTTCTGTCTGGACCTACAGCTTTTTAATAAAAATCACGGTCAAATAGGGCTTCTGATTCCAGTCCTACATGGGGCAATTAAAACTTACACTTTCAGAAAGCAGCTTTCCAAAGAGAAATTTGGAAGGTAACTTCAATAAGAAATCACACATGTATAAATAGCTAAAAGAATTAGGGGAAAAAAAACAAAACCAGCCTGAAGTACTTTAACTACTACTCAAACTTTCTCCATAAGCTAAACAGTTGCTATTATAAGCATGAGCTATTCTTCTCTCATTGCAAATTACAATGGGAACGCCAGTCCAGGAAAGTTTAAAAAAAAAAGCCCACCCCAAAACAACACAGTAATAAAAGGCCCTTCTCATGGAAAGGAATGTGAAATGCAATCTTTTCCTCACAATGTCTTTTTCCCAAGAGGTCTGGATGTCAAAAAATGGATAAATCACAAGGCAATCCAAAGCTCTTCCCATCCCACCACCTCATGTTCCCTAAAAAATGTAATCTGAAACCACACTTCCTTTCCTTTAGAAATATTACTGTATGATCTAGGAAGTTATATCTGGTGATGCAGACTCTTAAAATATGTGCTGATAGCTTAACGAGCAAAACCAGGACTGTTTCTTTTGTTCCTCTTTGAAACTTACTCCAGCAGTCTAAAGCTTCACTTCTGAATACAACCTAATTTGTGTTTCAGTAACTCTCTTTTCTTGAATTTCTACTACATCGAGGTAAAACATTTTCTCCTGCTCATTTAGCACTACATAAGATTGTAAACTAATTTTGGACTTTGTTATCTGGTGGGTAACAGAACGTTCTGTTTCAGTTAAATTTGCCCCATTGATTTAATCTCTAAATAGAGATTAAAGGATTCAAAGGAAGTTTTTACTCAGTTTTGAAGTTCCCTCCTGATCACAGCTTTAGTTTCAGCTTGGCACTATTACCTGACCACCATTTTGATGGGATACACACCAACTCTCAGTCTCTTCTGTTCAGGTATGTTGTACGATATCCGGCCACTGCTGTTGGATATCTCTGTGTCAAAGTACACCCACCTACCCGAAGACGGCTCAGTCATTATGAAGATATCCACCTGCAAAAAACGACAGTGATCTAGTGGGATAGTCAGCAGAACACCCTCTATTTACAGGGCCTGTCAAGCCTAGATCATATTAGTATCTCCAACCACGGCTGATTCTAAAAGCTTACAAGGAAGTTTTGCAGGAATTTCAAAACCGTAAAAACTTCAGTTTTTACTCAATTAGCAAATGCTTCCTAACACACAACACAAGGGTTTATTGCCTTCGTAATTTAAAGCACTCAGCTTAGCACTACAGGTGCCAAACATCGGCATAGACCTCAGAAATTTGGCAGAAGGCCTAAACTAGGAAGAAGATAATTTCAGCTTCCATGTATATATTACATTTTTCAATACTAACTGTCCAAAATGGAAAATGTCATCTGGTTATTAGCAAAATGAAATCTTTCTCAAATCATAGCCTTGCCTACAAATGCAAAACCAGAACACTTCAAATTATCAAAAGATTTCCTCAATATGAGTTTCTTCAACTAAAATACATAAAGGGTATTAAATACTTTGCTGGACCTGAAACAGGCCAAGTGAAACCTCCATGCTACAGGTTTACCCTCAGCGCAGCAGCATTGCTCCCTTAATGTGCACAGAAAATCTTACAATCTCAGTGAATATAAACCGATGTGTTCACTTGATGCTTGGCTTTATCAGCTGTAAGCAGGCAGCTTTAGGAATGACAGTTCCAACTGTGTCACATTACTACTGATTTCTAAAACTTATCTTTACTCATCCATGTGTAGGAGAAACCACAGCCATGTAGCCTCCAGAATGCCTATTCCTTTATCCAGTTGTTTTACTTGGATAGTATGATACACAATTTTCCTTTAGTGGTTTGTCAAACCAAATTTCCTTCTTGCTCAGAGAGTCAATTGTCTCCAGTAGGTGGTCCAGCTGGATAGCAGGTTCAGAAATCACTGGACAGCACACTCACCACTAACTAAAGGAGATATCCAGCATCAGGTAAGATGGGTGAAGGCTGAGAAAAAGGTCAGCTTTCAGGAAAGCCTACTTAGAGCATATCTTTGCTGAAGTAGTGGGGGCTAGTAATGTATTTCCCCTCACTGTAAGGCTTTCTCTGATGCTACACATGTGTGCTACACTGAACAATTGTTTCTAGAAAAATAAGAAAATTGAGTACTCGGACTTCACCTTTTCGCCTGTTAAAGCCACCATGTCCAGAGGTCCATACATAAAGCGCCCAACTAGTACCTGAGGACCATCTTCTGCTGCAATGACATCATTAGCTCGGTGATTAGCAGTCACATTCTGAAATAAGAACAGAAGGTGGGAAGTGTAATGTGTGCTTTTGTAACGAGGCTACGCTCTCTATTATGTTATGAACAGTGACACAGAGACACAGTCCTGGACAGTGTGTCTGAGGTACATCACTGCATCTGAGAACACCAAGCAGAGCTGTGCTCCCATTTCAGCTGGAGTCTTATTTCCACTGATGGTGGGTTCCTGAATAGACTTTCTAGTGAGAGTGCTCAAGACAACAAAAAAAGAGAGAACATTTAGAGGAATGCAAATTAGCTTTCACTTCAAGTGGTGCCATAGATTCATCTGTTGTTTAAAGAAAGAAATATCTTCCAACATGTAGCGATAAACAAAAATAAATTGTTCCTATTCCCTAACTGTTAATTTGCTTGGCTCTGGATTAAGTTAAGAGGTTATTGCTCTTTAGTAATATTCAGTTATGTAAACTCATTCTCCAGGAGATCAAACTCCATTTAAATTTCTGCCAAGCCCATGTTCCATGGCTGCCACATATATTTAGATTCAAACTTACTCTCAATTTGACATGTGTCCTTTTGCGTAGCCATTTTTCTCGTGGATTAGATGGACTTAGTGTTTCTGGATCCAGGTTGTCATTTTCTTTGAAATTTATATTTTCGTACCTCATCACCTGAAATCATATTAACATTTTAATAAATAACGTGTGGCCTGGGGAGACCTGGTACTTGGCAAGGAAAGAGAAACTTATACTGCTGCTACAATTGAATGACAATACAGAGCCAAAAGCACTATGGAAGTAGTGAGACGTACAGGCCGTATGCCCCCATTAATTGTTCAGACAAATAAACTGCTTTCACTCTGTTGGCCAACACTTAATCTCAAATACTTATTGAACAGCTTTTTCCATTCACAACAGCTTACACACTTCTCCAGAGAAAATGGTGAAAACATAAGGTTGGTATCAAGTGACAGTCACATTGTCTGCTTATGCTCTGCAAAGTCAGTAAAACAGCTTAAGACCACAGAAGCTTTTTTTAATGTCCAGCTTGTGAACATGCAGAACTCTATTATGTTATACAAACTACATATTCTTACAACCTAAATATCACACACTTACCAAGAAACGTGCACGTCCAACTCAGATCTCAGGATACAACCCACAGAATTCAAGATCAGGATGTGGGTTATGCTACATTTCAATTGAAACCACAAACCCTATCTTACTGAAATCTGTGGGTTCCACTCTGCAATCACAGATACCCATCTTGAATGAGAAATAGCTTTGTCTGTCTCTTTCACAAGCTGGCAGAAAATTTCTCAAGTTGAACAGCTGGTTTTCTGTGCTGAAGTTTTCCACTCTGAGCATCCTTGCTAGAAGAGTGACCAGCACTGGGAGCAGGAGCTGGAGGGCGTTCACGCTCAGAGACCAGCTACAAGTAGCTGTGAGAGCGGCATGCCACTGACATCTGCCAAACACACAGACTGATTCTTGGGTTAAACCAAATTGTGACTGGCTATTGTGTGAGGGTTACTGTGGGTTCTTGGAAGAACACTTATTCTGCAAGTTTTATTTGAACACCACTTCATTTTTTTCTGCTGGCCCAGGTGAGATTTCTCAACCTTTGTCCGTTTGTCTATAGGCCAGAGTACTGCATTTTCAGTAAGTGACTGTGTGTGGGTGCCTAATTACGGAAGGAAGAACAGACCCATAGTAAGACTCAGAAATAGATTCTGAGGAGAAAGTGCTTGCAATGCCTCAAAATACTCCTGTAAAGGAGAGACTCACTTTTTTTACAGAAGTAGTACTTTCAAACTGCTGGTTTACTATCAAGTGTATGCTAATGTGATACTTAGTAGGGAGATACATAGTTATGTAAGCCTGGAGATAGCCTATTCCTTCAAAAACAGGAGGAAATTAACATATAATACAGGGCTGTAATGATGTGGTGCATGGGAGGGGTGAGTAAGGTATGCATAATAATGCAATATTCCCAGTCACAGTCAGCAGTGCTAATGGTGGGCTTACTGTCCCCTTCACCTCTCCAATAAATCCACATCCATCATTCCCACATACAGTTGAATGCGATGCAAACACAGTTAGCCATCTAACTGAACTAAAGATTAAAAGACCAACTCTTGGAAAATGCAACTAAAAATCGCAAGACTGTCTGCTGCGGATAGAAAAAGTAAAAAGATCAATGACCTGTCTTAGAATGAAAGCCACAACGTCTGTTGACTCCCAGTAGCTGGCATGGAAGAGATGCGGAAGGGCCACCGTTGGAAAGGCTGTCAGCACATCTGGACAATACAAGGCATAATCTATTCGTTTTGTTCCCCACCACTTTGCAGTAACTACAAAAAATAAAACAAAATAGCATAACATTTATGTATCTTATTAAATTTCTTGCTATCTTTACATTTCAGCTAGGTAATTGAACTAAGTTTTCTGGTTTTTTATCTTGACATTTAGAGCCTGTTGAAGGTATCTATCATAAACAAAAGTAGTGTTTTTACTAACTGCATCATCACTTAACTATCTGCAATCTAAACAGTTCTTCTGGGTCCAAGTTCTGGGAACCAGAAATCACCTCAGCATGATTCCCACTGCTTCCTGAAAAATGTACGGTGAAAGACTAGTACTTTTATGATCATAATTGCAATACTTCCCAAATAGTAAATTGAGTATCTATCTATCTATCTATCTATCTATAGTCCACATCAGGACAATATAATGATCTGTAGCACTTTTAATTATATATACTAAATCTTATCTATCTATATTGCTTCATGCATGGAACGTAATTGGAAACCCCTGTTACCTAGAAACTGTTATGGCTATTTATGAGTGGCACCTTACTATAAAACTATGACTTCACTTTATCTACTTAATTACAAACAGAAAGGGGAGATAAATTGTGCTATATAAAATTTTCTCCACAAACTTCCAGATACTTTTCCTTTTCATAATAAACTTTTCACGGAAAACACTGTGGACAGAAGGGCTGTCGCTACATCTAACAGCACACGGCACCAGGCTTCACTCACTGTTAGTGAGGCACGCGGATGGCAAGCTTTCTGTTGACCCTGAGTTTTCACTATTTGTGCTGGCCAAGCTCAACTTTCTTGTTTTCCCTTGTGATTGATCAGATGTATCTGGAGATCCAGAACCCTCCTGAGAGAAGGGTATGTTCAAAGAGCTGTTCTCAAGGAACAGAGCACTGTGGTTGTGGAGAGCATCACCTGCAGGTTACAGAAATGAAAACAACAACAACAACAAAGCAATTAACATCATCACTTTGAAATAAGTGTTCATGTGTATATTTTATTTGTTTATTTATTAATTCCTTTTTAAATACAGTGCTACTGAGCGTTTTCCTGAATAATATCACATTTAATGCTCATGAATGGAACTCCGTTCTTCAACATGACAACAGCATGACTGTATGGAGAAAGCACACTCTCCTGCCCTCAAAGTGCACTGGCATTCAACCCCAACCATTTTAAAGTCATTTTCTAAGAAGAACTACAGAGCTCTGGGAGTCTGTGATACTTCTCTTGTCCTCTTCCTGACATAAGCAAAAGGACTTCTGAAAGAGAATCTTTAACAAGGTTATCTGCTGGTTTGCATGTTACCATTTCATTTGACACCACGAAAGCTCTCATTTTAAGAACTACTTTCACAAGCCCAGGTATCAGAGAAAGAAAAAAAATACCGTCACTAGAATTAATCCTTTGTGAATGAAGAACCCGAAATTCCAGAAGAATCTCAAAGTGCTTGAATTTAAATGGGAGGACTTCACATTCACTGAAATACAACACATCTTACGTATAAAAAACCAGCAGTGATTGGGTAGAGCTTTAAATACAAAACCATACCGTGGAACATTTGCTGATCATTAGCACTCAAGAATTTTTATTTTAAAATACATCCAACAGACATGGTTCCCAGATCTTCATGCTTGTAAGGGAATCTTCTAACCCAGTGCTTTAGATGAACCCAAAGAGAACACCAGTAGTTTCCAAACCACTTCTAAAGCCTCTGTTTCAAGAATCACTGAAAGGGGTTACCTTAACACAGCAAATATGGTAAAACCTACCAAAAAAAGGTTTTCCATTTGAAAAAGAGCGTAAGCAAACTATTCTTCCTATGACAGTTATTTAAAGAAAGGTTCAGCTTTTTGAGGCAGCCTTAGCAATTTATGAGTGACAGAATTTGTGTCTAACTAACTAACTAGCAGGATTTCTGAGGTCACAGTCAGGCTTTACAGCAAGTCTGAAAGCAAAGCAGGGTATGAATTTCCATTGAAAGAAAACTCAGAAATGGGAGGTGAGAAGAGAGCACATATTCCCTAGTCTGGACTGTCCCTCACCTTAGCTACTCCTCAAATAAATTCATGAGGAGCAGCCATATCTTCACATATTTCAGTGAAGCAACTAGAAACAAACCTTCTGCAACTCAAGATCAGCTGCTGCTTTTCAAACTGATTTGCATCCAAGGTACACCATATTTGAGCAGATAAAAGAAAGGAGTTGCTGTACCCTAATGCACACAACAGGTTCCCAAATACAATTCTTCTAGCTCCAACTAATAGAAAACATTGGCATTTTACTGTATTAGCCTCCAACCTTAAACTCTGAATCCTGAGGAACCTTTTCAAATATCCCATTGAAGCTTGAATTCATGTCTGAATCTGTAGCAAAATGAATAAACCTAATGTGTAAGCATGTACAGATACAAAGTCCTTTTTTTGCAGAACGTGACAAGTCAAAGATACTTCACACCTACACGATTTTATCTTATTTTCTATAAAGCCAAAAAAGCACAACTCCTTCTACTAGCACCTTGCTCATCCATATATTCCTCTTTCCTCCCCAGAGATCAGTCTATTTCCATTTTCTTCCAGGATTCAAACCATTTTTATCCAACATAATTATTTGCTTAGTAGCCCACCTAGGAGAAGAGCAATCAAGACTGCTCAGTGCTCTGATCTGTCCTAGTACATAACTGAGGAGACCAACACAAACAATATCTGAAGATCTAGGCAAAGGTCAACTAACTGTAAAAAAAAATTGTTAAAATGATAGTTAAAGACGTGAAATTTTACAGGTGACACTTCAATAAGAACAGTCGTGTTGCCTTCCAATTGCTCTGTAACAAAACTAGTATCAATCTCATAGATACAATAATTTTTAATTAGCAATCTTCTTTGGTTCCATACGTGCTAAGTATGTGTGTCACTCAGTCCCAGATGATTTGGTTTTAGCACATTAGCACACTGGTATCTCAAATCCTCTTGAGCTGTGGAAGGAGAGAATGCTTAAGAAAACAACAGATAATGAGAGGTACAAAAACAAGCACTGTACCTAATTGGTGAGATCTTCCATCCCCTAGTGGGTATCTCTGGTACCGTGGGACACTGAATGGGGGAAGAAGATGGAATCTTTTCTCCAGCAATGGTTCAAGTCTGCAGGCAGAAGGGTCTGCAGAGTGAAAGAAACTGTACACTTGGCTGCAGGCTGGTCGGACCTGGCATACTTGGATAAGAATAAGACAGAGCTCAGTATTGCCCCTTTATGATTTTCAAGGAGTCTATACAGAAATATGGTTAATATGGTCTTCTGCAAACTCCAGATTAGCATACACCTGGCCAGAAGAAATTTAACTACATTGTTTCCTATTTCATATGCAAAGAACACTTCACTGCACATGAGTTTACAGAGAAATTACAATCTGAGATGCAGGCACAAAGCAGATGTGAGAACAGTCAAAGAAACAGACAGAAGCAAGGAAGAAAAAAGAAGTTTAAAAATCTTGTAAGTATGGTATTAAGCATTACAGCTGTGATGTTCAGCACTTCAAATATTTACCAGCAAAATGGATTGCTGGGCCTGTCACATCCAGAGGACTTAAACCTAGATGACAGCAGAAGCAGGCAGGTGACAGAAGGCAATGCAGCTTCTCCAGTCACCTTATGGATGCTCATGTATAGAAATGAGGTTGGTCATACTGTAAGAGCAAAGCAATGTTTATGGTTTTTGCTAAAGGTGTGCAGCTCCTGAAGGTTTGGGGCTACAACGGAGAATGCAAATCTTAAAATCATTTACTCAGTTAATAAGACATTCTTTTGACTAAATACACAGAACTGAAACATAACTTAGATGGGTGATCACATGAGAATGCTAAGGTCTGTAAGACAGTCAGTGTAGTCACTTTTCAACACACCACACTTCAATCACACTGAATCAAATCAATTTATTATAGGTTCATTAAACTTAGTACACTTTGTACAGTACTGCATTATATGTTACAATGGTCAGTTTATTAACTACAAGAGTAAAGCAATGACCCTGGTGGTGCAGTGGCTAAAACCACAGCGTTGTCAACGCTGAGATCTGGGTTCGATTCCCGGTTAGGACACTCCCCGGGCAGATGGAGCTCGCTAGCCCTGTAAGGCAATCCATCTACGTCCTGAGGACCTCGCTGCCACCGTCCAAGCGTGCTTGGCCCCGGCAGATGAACCTCAGGATTAAAGGGTGGGCTCAGTTCCGCGCACACTG